ACTGGCATAGTGAGGCTGTCGAGGCCGCAACAATGACTGGATGCCGCAAGTTCTCAAAGGATGAATTCCTACATTCCATAGGGGAAATTCGTCGAAAAACCTTCAAACCGCATACAATTAAGCTTGGATTTAAATTGACAGGCCTTTGGCCTATTAATTCTAAGCTTATTACCGACGAATTAGAGTCATACGATCCATACTATGACAATCTATACCGGTCGAATACACCATCAATAAACTCACAAAACACTGAGTTTAGCACCCCAAAAACCGCTGAAAAAGTGAGAAGAATAAGCCTACGGCTTAATCAATATGATCCTACAACTCAGCATTTCAAAGAGGGGTTGGCAAAGCTTGCAAAAGGTGCCGAGGCGCAGGCTACTTTAGCTCTCCAGCTACAGCGGGAATTCGATCGAACACAAGCTATCATGGGAGCTCGCCACGCCCGGTATGATGCATCTCGCCGTCATGTACGGATTACCGGCATCATGAATTCAAACCAGCTCAAAGAAATAAAGCGAAAAGAATATAAACTGAGCGAAAAAGCCGATCAAGAGAAAACGAGGCGGAAGTGGAAGAAGGTATTGGTCGAAATCAGGAAGCATGGAAGGGCCAAAAAACGCAGTGGAAATTAAATTGCTTTTGTATTCTAGTAGTAAGTTGACTAATTCATCTATATCTCTTATTAAATTAATTAATTTACTATGTGGTGGTGTAGTAAATTGAGGTTAAAGTAAAATGTAGGAAAAATCTGTCATTTGGGTGATCCCTTTCATATGGGTGGCGGACCCTCCGCTAGGAGGGTCTGTAATTTTTGTAAAAAAATGTAAGGGCCGGTTACCGTACTAAGATACTGTCAAAAGTGTGGGTCAGAGGCAATCTAACTGTATTAGGCATAGCGTTATGCAAAACAAAGTTCAGCAAAGAATTAAAGAGAGTATAGAGATGAAACTGATTTCGAGCGCGTGTGTAAGCGTAGTTTCAAGAGAATAGCAACGAGTAGTTATTTTTCTAGACGTAGACACAGCTTAGGAGACAAGCAGGATGTTCGTTTATATGTTCTTCTTGGGATTGTGTAACTCTGCATTTAGACAGCTATGTTGCATGAGGTTTTTTTTTAGATCTGACATTGTGTACCAATCAGTGGTGTGATCTTGTGAGGATGCATAAGCCCGATATATATTTTGGTCGTGTACCAGCGACCAATCATTTGCCGCCGGGAAGTTACTGGGCTTTTTTTAAACCATGTTATTGGCTGTTGTATGCAGGTTGTTGCCACGTCATCATTTTCCCGGGCGCGTAGGACATCCGATCACATAATCTGGACTGATTAGTTACATAAAAACCCAAGCTAATAGGTTGGCAGCTCTTTGAACTGTTCGTGGGCCAGCCACCTTTCGACATATTCTTAATAACGCCCGCAATCCTTGTTGGCCAAATGCGAGAGATGGCAACTGATGAACTACCTGAAAGATGGCAACATGAATGGAATACGATGAACACAGGGGACGTCATGGCCACAGAAAGCACCGGGCCCAACTTGCAGGAATGGCTGGAAGAAGTATACTTTGATAGCCCGCTGAGTCCCGATCTCACACGAGAGGACATAGTGAGGCTGGGACGAATCGTTGGAAGATTATTGCATTTTGAGCCGTCTGCAAGAGCGTCAGCGAAACAAGTTCTTGATGACCCTTGGTTTAGTGAGTGACCCCATGACAAATAGTCATTACAACATGAAGGCGCGTGTGAAATTTGTCTTCATTCAATTGAACTGTACTGTACCTAGCAATTTTCTGAGGCCTCTTCGATTTTCAAGCCTGCGTGCCGAAAATGACCTCTAGCACTCTCTTCTTTTGCACCGACCACATCAATACACCATCCAAGAAAGACATCAAAGCCTTGATCGGGGTCTACTTCATAATAGCCCCAGTTGCGTTTAATAAAGGCTTTGAGCTCAGCGAAAAACTCTTCAATCGGATTCAAGTCCGGCGAGTAGGGTGGCAGATAGACCAATTTTACCCCTGCATCCACACACATCTGTGTCATTCGCTCTGAGTGATGAAACGAGGCGTTGTCCATAACCAGAACGGATTTAGGTTCGGGCCATCTTCCGCAGTGCTGAAGAAGCTGCGCTATGAAGTCCTCGAACACGGTGGCATCTGTGGACCCGCGGAAGACACGCGAGAAAACGATTCCATCCTGGGAATACGCAGGCAGTATCTGATATCGCTGGTCGCGGTGAAATTGTGATACTTGCATAGGGGACACACCAAGTGGTGACCAGCCTGTGCGCCTGAACCCAACCCTTTTATCACATCCGGATTCATCTACGTAAACCAGCTGATACGACTGAAAATCCGATAAATTATGCAGGTACCATTCTCGCAAATCGGCATTCCGCTCCCTCGCTTGCTGCCGAGTGCTCTTTTTAGACCAACCGTTGGCAACAAGGGCTCGTCTGATGCTGGAGGTTGTGACTAGGGTGCGGAATTCATCCCAGAGGAAAACAGCCATCTCATCGAGGTATAATCCGGGCTTTTCAGACAGGTGTTCGCAGAGGGCTTCGATCATCAGTGGTGTTACAGTCCGTTTCCGTCCTATTCGAGTTGGGGGTGCATGCACACTTCCAAATTGCCGCAAGTTTGCGCGAATATTTATAATCGTAGCCTGGCTGCATTCTGCTTCTTCAGCCATTTTAGATGTGCCAAGTGACTGGCTCTCTATCATGTCGCTGATGAGATGCAGCTTGGCTAGTGGAAGTCTCGGAGCCATTTTGTGAGGTCGATTATGACGTTCTAGAGAGATAGTCTGGTGAAGATGCCTCCTGCTTGGGGTGGGTGGTATGGCGGAGAATTACCATTGTATGGCATTTACGAGTAAGATACACAAGACAGGGTCCCACCTTCGTCATGTAAAATACAATGTCTATTCTTGGAAATCACGGATCTACCACTATTCCAAATATGAACTAGCGTGTTTCAGATTAGGGTTCGCGAATCAAGTCGCAAGAGTGTGAAGTTAAAACTGATTTCGAATTCTACTGTACGAACGTTTGACATGGCATTGTATAAAGTAGAGGAATATGGCTACGTGACAGAGCTCAAAATGGACAGCTGACCATAGCTAGCTCGTAGACCGGTAAGTTAAGCGTCCTATAGATTAGCACAGACTAACACAACCCTCGACAGGCTATGAATGGTGTCGACAATAAAAGTCTTTAACCTCTGCTACGTTGCCCTGATTCTATCCCAACTTGATCATGCGTTAGAGCCACAGCCACAAGGTTTCACGGTCTCTGATGATCTCGAGGCTGTGCATGACATGGGCGTCGAGGCGGATTTACGTCCTGAATTGGACTTAGGAACACCTTTGAAGGGGAAACCGAGGAGGAGACCGACGCTACGGAAGATGTCGGCGTCGAGATTGCAGTAGGGGTTTGTTTCCCACATAGGAATTCTCCGTCAGAGTTTCCGCAGTGTTCGTCTATTAACGGCAGTGGTAAGTATCGAACGTAAAGAAGGCTAAGCGGGTCTCTAATTACCAAGGTTGATTTCTGCGATGATTTCTGCGGCCGCGTTAGTGCTGCAGGTGGCGAGAAGAGTAGTCCCTTCCAATTGGAACCCTTTACAAGAAGCGTAGGCTCCACCACTATCATGCATGACTTGTTAGCCTTAAAAATTTTTCTTTCACCATTGGAATATTGAGATTGCATTTACTCTGGCCGAACATGAAGTGTGCCATTGTCATTGGCAAGGATTTTGTTAAAATCGGCCCCACAGGGTACCCAACCACCCCCAAAATCTTTCTTGCATTGACAGCTCAATTTGGCATTCACGAGGGTGCAATCTCGGGTGGATTTTGAATAATCAATGTTCCCAAGTGCTGTACCGAATGTGAGGAAAAAAAGGAAGATTGGGACAGGATACATCGTCGATAATCTGCTTAAGATGCAAGGCCAACGGTTGGTCAGGATGGTACATTTCTACTTATACCTGTGCTTTATATACCCTCTAGGGCTTTGGATCAGGCACTGAAATAGATTCCCGATTTACGCTAAACCGTACGGCATTTTTTTAGGTGCGCTATATGCTGATGATAGAAAATGTAATTATAGACACCGCCGTAGAGCAATCAAAGTGACATCCAGTGGCTATTTTGACACTTGTGACGAGTGAAGTTCAATTTCATATACGCCTGTGTTGGCCGTAGCGCACTATGCCATTTTTTCTTATAAGCCAGTACAGGTTGCTAAACCACTATTCCCGAGAATGATGCCGGGTTTCATAACCAAACCTGACTTTCACGAGAAGCATTGAATGGCTATATTTCTAATACATATACTCGCGAGGTCGTAGGGATTAGTGGCAAAAGAATTGTGTATTACTATCCTATGTAGAAACCGAGTTAGTCCTAAAAAAGGACTGTTGACCAGCTTGTTACTTCTCTGGTAAATTTGGAACCAAAGCCTAATTGTAGATCTGATTACATATACACCAAGCTTAAAGAACTAAATACTAGAAAATATTATTAATGTACGTTTTCGCCTACAGTTAGTTTGCTGTGCTATAAGGGCAGCACATCGCATATTAACCATCCCCTCCGTCATAGAGAACATTGTTCCCGTAATGGGACAGGTATTAAACCTGATCAACACCACTAGGGATTCTGTCAGTGCCAACTGATCGGCCGACATGGTAAACCCAAACTCTCCGGTCACCCATCGCTCTTAAAATGCCACACCACCAATTCGACGAATACTCAATATTTGTGGTATCTTTATATCCCATTTGACACAACTATCTAACGCCCAAGGGCAGTTTCGTAGATATCCACCATCCATTATTGGATGTGAGTCATTTTCCTCTCCCTCTCTCTCAATTCGCGCTACTATAGAACATGATGTTGATCTATAGTGAGCGGTCTAACCTATTTATCCACTCCCTTGGCCCTTGTACACGAGCACATGGCACTTAATGTAGCTGCCTGTCGGCATACAGACTCTACATGATGACACACTTGGAAGCTAGGCTCGAGTTGATGTTCCGGAGAGGAGGGTTCGTTAAAAGTGCCTCTTTGATACCGTCAGGTAAGTCTTCCATAGACGACTGACTGTCGTCAGGTGAGCAGCTTCGGGATGGAGGCAGAGACATAGTTGTGTCCGATACAGGGGAGGGCAACGAGCCGGGATTATGTACCTTGGGAACTTCGCTGTCGACTTCGCTGTCGAATGTGAGCTGCCGTCGGACAGGTAGATTGCGCATTGGTGCACTAAGATGCCCTGGGGATTTTGCTGGTGGCTTAAAAGCTGCTGTTGGGGGCATCTTGTAGGCGCCGCGTGGGATGCTGAATTTGCCTATGGCAGGCTTGTGGCGGCGTTTAGTGTGCGGGGAAGGCTCATTCTGGGAACTAATTTGGCGATCCATGGATGGCTTAATGATGAGGCCGTCGGCTGGTGTTGATTGCTTAACTTCTTTTGCACGTCGTCTCTGACGTGGTAGCTGCCTATCATGCGTCTCTTTGTGGCGCCTAAGGTGCTCAGCTCGCGTCAGGATCTAGGAAGGAGAGTGAGCGTAAGTCGAGCAATGATTGAGAACACTGACCTTCATGCAACCAGGATAGTCACAAGCGTGTACCCGTTGACCCCTTTTGGCCTTGCTAATACGGTGTGTAACTGGGGTAAATCTAATGGGGAGCTCGGGATCACAGCTGCGAAATCCGCTAGTCATTCTCGTCGTATAGGTCTCTCACCAGCCGAGAGTAGCATAATCCGAGTAAAAACGCCTGTTAAGTGAATGTAAAACTACCTCGTCACTGTCGCGTTTTATAGACGCTGTAGATGTAAATGCGGTGGACACGTGATAGAGACCTAGGTGATTCTATTGGTTAGCTACTAGACCCGCCTAGTCCCACCGAACGGTGCTAAAATTACATGTAACATGTACAGTGTCCTAGGATGTATAAAGCTAGTGCCAAACTGACGCAATGCGCCAAAGCTCTACATATAAAGACCTAAGTAGATCGATCATGGTTACTTTAACGGAAGGAAAACAGAGGAAACAGTTTTGTTGTGACATATTAGCGCGATGCGCAATTTTGGAAAGAACAAAAGAAGGATAGCTCAATCGTCGTAGCGTAAATGTTTTGTGAACAGGAAAATAAAAAGGATAAAAAGGAAAACAAAGGAGAAGAAGAAGGTGGGGCATAAATGTCCTAAATAGAAAAGATGAATTAAAGAAAAGGTAATAGATGATTTTCCTTTTTTTTTCTTTTTCGGAAAGGGGAAAAAAGGAACCCTGCGCTAAAAGCAGACTAGTCGGTTAGCATAGCTTCCTGGTAGCATGTTATTCCGCGTCGGTTGGAAGAAGCAGTGGCCGATGGTTGCCCGAATTTCCTACAAGAACTGGTTATATCATGACAGTGGATATTCCTATTTCAGATATTGCTAAATAGGCCGTGCTTCGAAAACCATTACTCGTTAAATTCCAGACATCGGAGAATTCATTCCAATATTCACGATAAGTTTGATTTTGCGACCTCGTCGATCATTTCCGCTTTCCACTTTCCCCTTTTTATTTTTATTTTTATTTTTGTTTTTGGTTTTATTTTGTTTTTTTCCTCAGTCTTTTGCATTTTTCTTTCCTAAGGCGTAGGTAGGGAATGAGATGTATTATAGCGACTGGATCTGTGGACTTAGTACCCCGAACTGATGAGGATTCTAGAGTCAGTCAAACGAATCTCGATCATTTCTGTAGCATTTGTCGAGCGTATCGAATTGACAGTAGTTCTATGGCATAGGATCGATAAGTGATACGATGGGTCGGATCTCGTTGATCTGCGTAGAATTTGCCATACCCTCTTTGACCGGATAGAGTGCGGCCAGTAACCTAAAGCCTGCCGTGTTGCACCTGTTGCTATTACAAGTGTGGTTTGTTTGTAATCCTCATTAGAAAGAAGAATAAATATCGTCGCTGATAGTGGGGACCATGCAGGAAGGAGCCAAAAGCAACTGATCTTAATGTGACGGCAAAAGCCAAAAAAGCAGCGTTGCGCGATTACTGTAATGGGTGTTTATCCAACTTCAGGAAGAATGAAGCGTGGTTTGGCTACTGTACGGATAACCAATCTCGCATTCAGAAACAAGAGGTTCCCGTATTAGGGACACTAGAGCTATGATGATATAATAGTGGCAGGACTTCAAATCAGCCCTACTCAGTCGGGGCCCAAGGTGGTAATAACATCCAATTCAATCAGAAGGAGCCTAGAACCGCCATGAAGCTCAAGACTACAGACATGAAATCTTTGTTACAAGGGTAGAGCCGCCATGTACATATCTCACTACGACTCTGGGTTGGCATTTACGCCGTCTGAATGCTCTTCACAGCATCTTCGTACGGTCGGGAGTGGCGATTCAGATAGGGGCTTATATCGCGCGCGTTAGCACCGTGCTTTTGTAAGGCCCACGGAATAGTCCATAGGGTTAGATGTAGAACCCCAAACAGAGATATCATCCAGTGAAACCCGACCCGCTCCATAAACTGCATGGTGAACAGGGGAAATACACACGACACCCCATATCTCATAGACACGTCGATTGCGAGAACGGAAGCCCGAGCTCGGCACTATACACCTCGTTTTTGTAGCGGGCATAGACTAACTGTTTGCAGAACAGATGAGCGGCAGTCTTTCAAAGACAAAAGAAGCAAAATACCTGTGACAACGCAAAACCAAACCCGAAAACAGCAGACGCCAGAATTACCCAGACCCAATGAACATTGTGCCGTGACAACCATGCGAGACTATCTTTATGTCAGTATACCTTCTGGTGCAAGGGAACGGGTCTCTGCTGATGACTTGAAGTCTCCAAATTTATTGCCCGGCAGGTGAATGGGGAAGGAGTTCCCAAAACTTACGTGAAGAGAGAACCCCACATCGCGGCACCCGCTAACTTGCCGCCGACGAGAATAAATTCCGGGTCTTTTTCCACGGTGGCTTGTCTTTTCCTCTCGATAAAGGCTAACAGTGGGAATGCCACAAAGCCTGCGGCCAGTTGGGCTAAGAAGGCCAACCCCGTCTGGTACGGGGAGAATCCATACACCTCGTTCAGCATGTTCGGGAACGATTCGTAGAGAACGAAAAGCACGACTTGGCCCGCAATAGTAACAGAAGTGGTGGGGAATATGATACGTTCCTTCCAGAGCATATCGAGAGGTCGTAGAACGGCAGGACCTATGACCTTGCGCCAGTCACGACGAGGGAGATTGAGCGCCTTCCTCCGCACCTCTCGTTCGTAGGTTTCTGCGATAGGAAGGGCTGCGAGAAAGCAGACACCAATCAGTGTGGCTATCAGCCAAAAGGACCACCGCCATCCGCCGGCTTCCACAACGGACTGTCCAATGATAGGCCCGACTGTTGGAGCAGCGATACCTCCGAGTCCATAGAGCAGGAATACAGGGACTGCCAGCCGATCTTCAGGCATCTTCCATATATCGTTCAGGACTCCCACAAATATGGTCACCAATGGAGAGCCCAAAATGCCTGACAGGGCACGGGCAACGGCCAGAGTGCGAAAGTTTCGCGCTGTGGCACCGAGGATAGTGAAGACCAGGTGAAGGAGCAGAGAGCATTTAATAGCCCACTGTCTCCCAAACTCCTCTGACAAAGCCGACGAGAGGAGAGGACCAATCGTAAACCCCATAGCGTATAGGGTAACGGGCGATATAGCCAAGGTAGATCCAATCTGGAACTCCGCTCTAACGCCCGGAATGGCAGCAATGTAGATCGAATTTGCCAGGGTGCTGAAATAAACTTTTAGTCGAAGCCTCAACAGGAAGGATCAGAACGTACACCACAAAGAACGAGGCAATTGCAACGATGGAGATTAGGATTTTTGTAGCAGTGCCCCACTGGCGAGCGCTATAGTCGGTAGGCTGGGAGTCGTCTTTCTTGTCTTGAAAGTGAATAATCCAGCTGGGGTCACCAAAATAGAGGGTAGTGCTGGATGATGGGGTTTGTGGCTCCTCCTGAACCGTTATGTCCAACTTGTGGTTGGGGTCTGGGCCACTAGATGAGAGCTCCGGGTGTGTATCCATGTTGAGCAACGAATTGATAGCAATATACCAAGATAAATAAATCGAAGTAAATAGGCAATTTACCCAAAAAGTGCTGTAAACAAGGAGGAAGACGCTACCTGAGAATGGGCAAAGCATGTATTAAATACCCCAGGCGAGGAACACACAGGGCATGGCGCATGGCTAGACCGCAACGCGACATCTATGGGCGATATCACCAAGGAAAGTAACTGGATCTCATGATGTCACTCGATGTGTTGATTTCACTCAGCGAGAAATAATCGACATGGTCTAGGTCTTTCGAAGGTTATTCGGTCAAAGCAACGGATGTATAACCGTAATATGTCTAGTGTGTCCTAACGATGGCCAGTAGAATGCGATACGCTTAGTGAACCTAATCATGACTGCTACGTTTTCTAGCTTTTTGGTACACTGTGTATGATAAAGGAACCTGCTCTAGACCCACACACACAGGGACCTAGGCGTAGAATCTCGTCTTATATCCGGGTTCTCCATCTCAATTTTGCTTTCGACTGAGAGAGTCATACCTGAATCTCAAATCTGCTCGCAGTCGTCATGTATCCACGTCGCCACTCTGCCTGGATAGGGGGGAGAGGAAAGGTTCAGCGCCTTCTTTATATGCTATGGGACGGATCACGGATACAGCTTCATGCTCGCAAGGGTCTTTTTTCCAACATACGAAAGAAGGTGGTTCTTCGCCTCGTCCGCCAGATTCGACGTTCAATGAGCTAACGGTTTGCCGCAGTACCAGTCGATACAGTTTCATCACGACAGCCTCGGTAGGCACTCTACACACGGAATACAACATGTGCTTCTTCAAGGTTACACGCCCACCATTCAACTGAGTGAGGTAGGCAATAAGGCCCGCGCAGCAATCGCCTTGTCACCTAGCCAGGGACTATGTTACTACCCGGGAAAGCTCCACGGAGGGTACCAAGCATTTCTCCTCGACCAGCTCTTTGCCGACTGCTGTAACCAGCTCTTTGTCGACTGCTGCAACCCTCCGGTCACTGCAAGTCTGACGCTCAGTTATCATCAACCAGTGCCACCTGATGCTGAGCTGTTCCTGGAAGCCTGGCCAACAAAGGTCAATGGACGGAAGATTGAGATGGAGGGATCAATTAAGCTAATGGACAAAGACACCGGTGACCTGGCCACAGTGGTCACAGCCTCTGCGCTATTCATTATCCCTCGTCAGTAGAGTGGTTCTGTGCTAGGAGAGTCTCTACACAGTATACTGCCACTCTGCAAGTTACCGTGTAATGTTAGCCACTTGATAGATCTAACATTGATACTGTTATGTGCCAGCGGACAATAGCAGGTGGTGGTAGGAAGCATTGCATATGTAGTATGACAGCCAGTTTCAACACAATATGATAATAATTCAAGACCAAGAGACTTCGTCGTACGAGGCTGCTCCTCTACTGAAGATCACGGTCCCTTAGAAAAAGCCACTTGACTAACAATATGGGTTAAAGCTTTGTTCCTTCATAGGGGTTATTATTAGATCGAAACTTGGAGTATGCTATTTTCGGTGTTATGCTAAAGATAGGACACATTGGAACTCCAAGGTCGTGTCACTTATAAAGTCATCTTCTCTATTTCATGGTCATCTATTTTCGAATCTCTACAGAATGACAGGACCTACTCTGCATGGTGGCAGTGGATATGAACCATCGGGGACGAGAAAAACGTCGCATAGGTCATATCCATCGACCCAATTATCAACGTACGAGACTGCACGCTGGGACCCGAATGCAAACCTGGGATCTCGTTGGAAAACAAACGACGGTATCCGGAAGCGGTCTAGCTCGAATAGAAAGACAACCAAACCGTATACGCTTTCTAGCTCTCCGGTCCCAGGAGCCCATAAGGAGTGTTCATTAATGCAAGACGGGCCTTCCTCGTTGGAAAAGCGATTCTCGACTCTAGAGCAACGACTGTCTGTTCTAGAAAATGACTGGAGTCAACAATGGGCCCAGTTACAAAATTCGATTGCAGTACTTAGCAAGCAACAGGATACAATGTGAGTCACCCTTTCGCCACCAAAAGAAGTGATCTGAGACAGAAAAGCCACGATACACTTATATTGCTCTCCACTAAGGGATCCGAGCTGTTGCATTCCGACGATCCAGATCTTGGTCGGTCTAGCAACGAAAACCCTGCCGCACCAAGCCCAGGACTAAAAGACCAGGGGTTAATTGATCCGGGATTTTTGCCAAATGCCTTTGATCAAGAACTATATGGCTCTCTACCTATTGGGTCAGTGAATATGTAGATTGGCGCCTTTCTTAATTACTTGATGGGATGACGCCTGAATACTACGTGGAGAACCCCAATAGCTGCTAAATATGAGAGTACAGAGTAGAGATCTAGCGGGATATGGCTGGAGTTGGGGTGAAGATATATGTCGGCTTTTTTATGTAGCAAGCATCGACTGTGTATCGGATGCCCACTGGTCCGTCTTTCCTTGATGAGTAAGCGTAACCAAGAGCCGCCCTGCCTTACCTCAGTTCCCTCAGACCACAGCCAATGATGAGACAGAATTCTGCCGATTCTGCCACGCTAACCCGATTGGGTTGCTTCATCAGCCCGTGGTCTGAGCCGGGAACCCCTTCCGTACATACAAGTTTCCGGTTCTCGCCAGCAACCCCACCATTTGGTCAAGGTGTGTTTTCTCAAGCTCTCTGAGAGTATTTCTGACATTGTTAGAAAGAATGGCATCACCGGATTTGCCCAATATGATCTCTAGATCGCGAAAGCGTGCTCGACAATCCTCCCTCGAGTGGCCTTCTTCCAGTTCACCATTACAAGAACCACCTGCGTCTACTCAGCGATCTCGTTATATCTCAGGATTGCAGCCACGCGAACGTGTCGATATGGTACTGGCTGAGCTTAATGATAAGCACCGGTGGACAATCAAGGATCTTCTTTACCACATGGTGCATGCACAACCAGTCAAAAAAAATGGATATTCGACATCGTATCGAGCACAGAAATTGTCTGACGCTATATATGGGCAACCTGAAATTATTGAGCGGCTAGGTAGTGTCTCAAAAGACATATATGCCACTGGTGCATCCGATCTCGTGTCTCGGATACAGACCGAGATTCGAGGGCTGATTAACGGAGATATACTCGGCGAGTTCCAGTCCAATGTGGACCCTAAAGATATGGACATCTCTAGCTTGGCTACGCAGATGCAGAGGAAAGCTCCAGAGCTCTGTGGACTGCTCGTTAGCATCATGACACCTCCAGGAAACCATCGCGATACACCCAAGATCCACCAGGGCAGCATTGTGATGGTCTGTTCAATTCTGGCTTGCGCTTTTGCACCACGGAAAAGCAACAACTTCCCGATGTTGATCGGCTTGTATTTACATGCAATGGGTGTCAAGCGACGTGTGATTAGCTTTCTGGCTGGCCTGGGGATAAACTCAGCATACCAGACTATCATGGACAGACGGAAGGAACTTGCAGAACTAGGACAGGTACTATAACCGCATTTACCGGAGAATAACATGTTCTGGCTGACTTCTTACCCCAAGATGTGTACAGAAACAATTGAAACAGAATGCCCAGGCTTCTCGCAGGAATCTCATTGTGGCATGGGATAACTTTGACTACAGCCAGACTGTTCGACATCAAACTATTCGTGATCCATCAGAGCATATCTCCGCCACCACTGGCAAGCTTTGTATCGGTCAGTCCATCCCTGCAGGAGGGCTTCTCCGATCTATGTTCCATCCAGAGGTTGCACTGAGTCCTCATGATATCTACATGGCACCAGGCAATCAGGATGATGAGATCTTCCATCAATGTCAGCGCCATTGGATTGCAGAGGCCATTCGCTATACTCATCGGGAGGCAGTAGAGAAACTATTTACTGCGGAAGCGTGCGTCAAACCAGGCCAGATGAAACCGCGAGCCCATCTTATTGACTGGCCTGAATTCCCAGCAGTTAAACGACTGCAAGCGCAGAAGACAATTCACTACAGCCTTGGGCCAATGTTATACAACGAAGGCACGACAGAGGGGACATACAAGGTCATTCAGAATGTCTTTCTGGAGCAACTGGGGGATGATGATGATACAGACCTTGATGGGCTTTTACAACTGGTTTATGGAGATCAGAAAACAGTGTCACTCCTTCGTGCCGTCAAAAAAGAACGTGCGGAGGCTTCTCGTCTTTTCGATCGTTTCAGCTGGATATTGCCAATCCCCGGACTGTTCCACTGGCGTATGAACTACTTGGATATGATCTTTGAGCTCTATGCTGGGACAGACCACCCTACCGTTGAATCGACGATCCATCATAATAAGGTCTGTCTCGGTTGCGTACAGGGACACAAAAGTCCATTCCACCATAAAGAAGAGGTGGCTACTCGCTCATTTGACGCTCGCGTCACGGCCATGTTCTATCAGTTTGTCCCATTAACAGTCAATTTCGCGGATGCTAAAGATGTGGATGATTGGATTCAAAGCCTCGGAAGGGGTCAATTCCTGGACGTTGTGGATCAGATACGCCAGTCTCTGTTCCATTTTAAAGAGCAGCAGTCTAAGGTTCGTGAACGAGAAGGAGAACCAGTCGACTATGAGTTCTCAGCACATGCGAAATTCCTTCAGCAGATGGAGACTTACAAGTCCTTGAAGCTTGCCATCAAACTTGGTGACATTGGAATTATCCAGCGGATCTTTGCACAATGTTGTCTCCTCTTCCCTGGCACAAAGAAAACCCGATATTCTTTCCTCTCCTTGTATATGACATGGCTCACTCAAACCAAAGCAGCTGATCCCGAGCTGCAGACTGCCATTCTTGCCAACGGACTTGTGAATCTACGGGGTGCGGAGGACGGTTGGTTCGAAATTGATCGACTGAATGAGTTCTTCAATCTTCATATGAAGACACTCATGTCGACTCGACGGACCTCAAATCTGGACATCACTACCATGTTCCGTCGAACTGCTCTCACAGCCAGCTACTGTACTGATCTAAAGGAGCTTCTGGAGGCTACCTTTGGAGAATATAGCAATGGGCGACACCAAAATAAGGATGCTAGCCAGGATGTTCGTCATCTAGCTTATCAGATCTCGAAGTGCATCCAAAAGCAACCAAATGGTCGGACAAGAGGCTTTCAACCATGTGATATACTCACAGAAACAATTGGCGAAAAGCTCTTCAAAGCCGTACAGAACTTCAATAGCCTCGTCGTCAACGGACAGTGGGCACAAGAAGTTGATTTTAGCAAGATGACATCGACTCCTATTGCTGTTCTAGATGAGATTGAAGAGAATGACACATGACACTGAATAGCAGGTTGCTGCCGGGACAGCTTTAGCTATACTTCTCTTCATTCCATTGATAATACTCCCACGCTATATTATAAGGTGACTGACACACATTGATGGAATGCATCAGATGGATTGTTCATCATTCTCTACCAGACCTTAGAACCTAGGTCTTCTCCACCCTTCATCACGCGACGCCCATTTCCTGATACCACACCGAGGGCCTTGCGTTTGGGAACTGGAGTTGCCGAAGGAGGAGGCATGTCCATAAAAGCTTGGGATGGCGTGTTAATATCAACCCACGGAGAGATATTCCGAGATGGAGTTGGTTGACTGGTGCTTTCTGGCGTGACTGCAGAAGACCATGTGAGGTTGCTGCATTCACTCATTTGACTAGAGTCATTCGACACACGCTTCCTCTTTGCAGGGGTTTGAATAGTGGCCATAAAGGCTGCTTGATATGCATTCTTCAAGACATCCACAAGACCCTCAGCAAGCTGATTCGACAAAGCCCATATTCCCAATATTGTCTGAAGATCCTTTGCCTGGAAATATTCCCGCTCCGAATAGGTGGCATTTTCAATATATATCGCAAGATGGACATATTGTTCTTCTGCCAGTATGCTTGAGCAATCAGGTATGAACTTCACTCCGTTCAAAGCGCTTGAAAGGACCTCCTTGGACCAATATTTTAACTGGTTGATGATTATCTCGTCCATCTGTCCTGACCTCGGACCGTGCTCAGTATACAGATAACGAGTTGGATCATTGAGCTGATACTCAGGATTGCAGTTGCTGCAGCACCGGTCACGCCGAGGATTACATCTGAACTCTTCAGGTTCATTGAAGTAGTCCAGGAACCGTTTCCGGAGGCATTCTGTAGGCTCATTGGCAAGGAGATACCAAAATTCA